GAGGGGTTGAAATGAAAAATGGCTAAAAAGCAGCAAAGGAAGCTTGAAGCCATCCAGCAGAACTTCCTTCCCGGTCGCTGGGGGTAATGAAAAGATGGGAGTTCAAGACCCTCAAATTAGCAGCAGGGTGTGTATTTTCTCTCTCTTTCCTCCAATCTATAATCTTAAGGTCATAAAATTAAAAGGACCTGGAGGCTATCAAATCCAAGGTAACAAGGTAACATTCATTCTTACAGCTAAAGCAACAAAGCCTGGGGAGGATGGTGCTTGGCCAAGGGCACAAAGGAATTCGAACCGAGAGCCTCTGACTCCCGATCTGGTCCTTTTCCCATTGCATCTGAGGAGAATTTGCCTTGAGTTTTTTTGGTGTCTTTTGACTATCACAAATTAAAAGAGACAGTCACGGCTCAGTACCAGTTAATGAGCAATGCTTGTTTCCTTCCTCCTGACATTTTTGCAAATCAATTGCACATATAAATACATATATTATATATATGATATATATGTATATAATATATACACACATATAATTGCATGTGTATGTGTGCACACACACATCTATATGCATAACATAAATATAGAAATAATCCATAGTAATGCTCATGGCCAAATGGGGCAGAGAATTTGGAGTGTGTTATAAGAGGCTTTCATTATTACATTCGGGGTTTCATTGACCAGTCATCACACTTTTTGCTGGCCTGTTAGAGTGGACAATGTGTCTCTGTTTAAATCCAGTGCTGGTCTATAGGCCAGGCACAACATTTCACTAAATAACCCACATAGGAACATCAAAATGCTGATACCCTATTTCAGTGACAAAGAAAATTGCAAATGGACCCAAAATGGCTTAAATCTCCCTAAAAGGAACCCTGTGAACAAAACATATCACCTGATGACTGATAACTTTGATATGAGGAAAATAAACTCCTGAAGAATTAGTGAAAACTGAAACCCTTGATAAGAATAAAGTAAACCAACTGAAAGAGTAAATTTAATTGAAATTACAGAAGGGAAGTTACTTATAGAAGTAGAAGATTGCAAAATTGCATGCTTACTTAGCTACAATAGCAGAAAGAAAAGTTGCCAGGTTCAATGGGGGTGGGGGTGGGCAGACATTATTTCACTGGTGTAGGGAACTTTCTTTGAGGAAACTCTATGTATCAGTGCAGATAGCAAGTGGTACTGTGGTCTTGTTGAGGTCTAGAGGTTTAGGGGTGCTAGGACCCCAAAATATCGAGAGCAAGAGATGTGAATTCAATCCAAGCCATCTTTCAGCCAGAGACAAGGTTTATTAAAGATCCACCATATTGGCCAGACTCTTAAGGAATCTGCACATTTGTGAACTATTGGCTAGGTTCTTAAGGAATCTGAGCACCTTAATGGAGACAAGATGGACCTTATATACAGAAAGAAGTAGGGGGGATCTAGGAAGGATCTTGATGGGAGTGACTGGGAGTCAGAAAATAGGGTCTAGATAGGGTCAATGGCTAGGGATCATTGGGAGGTAATAGACTATGGAGGGCTGGGCTAGGTTAAGGGTAACAGAGAATTGGGAGATTGGGCAGAGGGCATAATGAAAGGCTAGTTGATAGGATTATAGCCTCAGGGGGAATGGCAAAGACCTCCCTGATCAAGTGGGAGAATTCAAGAATCCTTTAGACAAATGGGACCCAAGTTACTTCTGGTGTAAAGGGCAAAGGTCTCAGCTTGGACCCTTACCCCATCAATCTTGCAGTCTTTGAGAGTTGCATATGGCAATAGGAGGTCAAATGATTTGTCCAAGGTCATACAGCTAGTATGTGTCAGATGTGGGACTTGAAGTCAGATCTTCTTGATTCCCAGGCCAACTTCCTATCTAGTATACCCTTTCACCAGTCTTATTAGATGTGCTAACACCCTCAGCAAACCTTAGACATCATTTAGCCCAGCGTTTTTAATCTTCAAAGATGAAAAAAGTAAGAACCAAAAAAATGAAATGACTTGCTCAAGGTCACACACAGCTTCTTAGAAACAGTCAAGACTATAATCAGAAGATTCTGACAGTTCAGTGCATTTACCACTATATGACCGTGCCAAGTTGCTGTCTTATGAGATAATAGTAAGAATGGCTAGTTCCATTCATTGTTGTAACATTTTAAAATCCACAATTACAAAGTACTATAATGCAATATTGCAACACTGGAAAATATTGTCATTTCTGAAGTTTCACTGGTAGGAGTCTTTTCTCAACCAAGGCAGATCACAAATATTCTTTGCCTTAGTAGACTGACTTGCTATAGCAAAAAATGAATAAACAAGGAGAGAAAGAAAGGAAGGAAGGGAAAAAAGGAAGGAAAAAAAAAACAATGAAAAGAAATTTTAAAAAAAATTCTTAATCACCTAGTATATCATATATATCACATATGGAATGTAATCTTTACCAAATAGATTGTTTTTTATAGATTAATTATTATTTTATTCTTGTTTATCCAGTTGTAAAGATAAGAATACTTCATAGACTAAGTGATTTTAAGTTGATTAGATTCTAAACTACACCAGTCAGGCTCTCTTTTAGGACAAATGAGTCCTATCCTAAATTTTCTGGTTACAAACTAGGCTGGTCCTGGGACAATCGACACACAGTTTTTATTTGGTTTATACCTGAAAC